ATAGATTTCGGAACCACTACGTGTATGTTTCCGTCAATCCCTCTAAAAAGCAAACTACTTTTAACGATATAATCATCTATCTGTTTCGATTCCGTGCGAGGATCTTCTTTACATTACTATCGTCTGTCTGCGCCTTTCTTAATTTTATCGTTAACCCGTCTCCTTGTCTATCAACATATATTACATTGCGAAATCGAGCAACGACTTAACGCGTCTACATGGGTCATGTTCTTGCCCGAACGATGTACGATCTCATATTGAAATTCCTTCAGCGCTAATGTTCAACGAGCTACTCGCACGCATAAATCTTTTTTGTTCATCGTTAATATAAAAGCACGGCAGTCCGTTACAATGGTAAACGGGATTCCGATCAAATATACACGGAAGTTTTCAAGCGCTCTAACTGCTAACAACTCCAGCTCATAACTTGGATATTTCTGTTCAGCATCTGAAATTTTTTTACTACTATAATAAATTAGGTGAAATGCGTTATCCTCTGTACTTTTCTACAATAGGATCGCACCGAAAGAGTGCCGAAGCATTTGTGTGTAATTCGGTATCTGCGTCTATTACATACAATACATACATAAATTTAGTACCGGCCTATCGATTAGCACTTGCTTCAGTCGATTAAACGCATGTCTTTGTTCCTCGCCGAAAACAAACTTGGCATTCCCCTTTAGAAGGTCGCTCAACGGTCGCAGGATCGCGAAATACTACGGAATAAATATGCGAAAATATCCGCTTAATCCCAAAAAACTTTGCAATTGCCTCGCGTTTGTCGGCTCAGGAAATTTTTGGACTGCCTTTATTTTACACACAGATGGATATACACATCCATTCTCAATCGTGTGACCCAAGAATTCGACTTGACTTTTCAAGAAGCTATATTTTTCCCAGTTTATTATTAAACCTGCTTCGCAGGTTTCAAAACGCGTTTCTGATCCATCCTAAAAATCTACTGACGGTATTATTAGATTGTCCATATATGTTAATAATATCTCAGCCCGTATGAGATCGCTAAAAACGATATTAATATATCTTTGAAAAACAGCGGGTGAGTTGCAAAGACCGAAAGGAACGCGCAGAAACTCGTAATGCCCATTTAGAACAACAAATACCGTGTATTTTTTGCTTCGCTCGTCGATTCTCATATGGAAAAACCCATTCTTTAAATCTAAGGTGCTAAACAGTTTCGCGTTTTGTAACTGATCTATTTGGTCGTCAATACGTGGCAATGAATATCGGTCTCTAACTATTTTCTTATTCAACTGGCGATAATCGGCACACATTTTTATAGTGCTGTCTTTTCTTTTCACTAAAATGACCGGACTCGCGTATTCGGATAATGACGGCAGCACAATACCGTCGCGTAGCCACTCGTCTATCAGCACGTTAACTTATCCTTTTTACCGATACCAATAACCTTCTCGCCCGCTGATATATCGTTCTTCGTTCTTCGTTTATGAGCACTATCGTTATTTTAAAATCTACGTCTCGTGTTCTCTCAAGTTTATAATTCGCAAGTTCAGTTCTTTGATTCTGTCTCTTTGTTCCGGCTTTGATGTAAGAAATACATCGATATCATTGTCATTCTTCGCACATAGGTCAATTTGAAATATTTCCGGCACGTTCTCATGCTCGCTCGCTAATTCCGACATTGGACTAATCGTAATTTCACCCGCTCTTATCGCCATTACTACTGTACCCAGAAAATCTGCACCGATAATCAAATCATGATTTACGAAAGCGTCGGAAACAACACGAACAACGATACCCTTACAAAAAAATACTATTAGTGGTAATAGTTTCACTAGTAGTGACACTATTAATGCTAATAGTGACACTATTGGTGCTAATAGTGACACTATTAGTGACTCTAGTAGTGACATTAATAATACTAATTGTAACACTATTAGTGCTGATAGTAACACTACTAGTATTAGCAGTGATATTATTAGTGACACCAGTAATGTCAGAAGTGACACTATAAATGCCAATAGTGGTAATATGAGTATTATAAGTGATACTTGATGAGCTGATGTATATAAGTATGTAAATTTTATTATTACTATAGAAAAACTATGAAAGATATAATTAATGATATTAATATCATTTTATATTAATTATATTATTTAATATCAAAATATAATTAATTATTACAGGAATACGTTTATAAGATTATTAAATATTATTTTTCCTATATAAAAATTTATTTTCTATGACAATTGCATTTCTACCAAATCAGCAGACAGTGCTTTTTAAACGTTTTAAAAATTTTTTATTGATATTACATTGTACAGTTTATTACAAAAATAATATTTATTTAATATTTATTAAACGTTTATATAACATTTATTAAACATTTAAAATAAAGATTTAAGAAAAATATTATATTTATAACATTTATTTAACATTTGACATATTGAATAAAACGTTTAAAATAATATTTAAAGAAACGTTTATTTAACATTGATTTAATATTTGTATTACATTAATCAAACATTTAAAATAATATTTAAATAAACATTTCTTTAGTATTGATTTAATATTTATTTTTCAAACATACTTTTTACATTTGAAAAGATCTATTCTTTTCTTTTTAATAAATTATTTGTTTTTGTACATGGATGTGTGTGTACCAATATAAAGTATACAATATAATATGTATACAATATAAAGTGTCTCTCGGTGAAAGTGGTGGAGTGAGTAAGATGAACGACTCAAGAAGCAGAGGTCTCAGGTTCGAGTCCCAGCATGGTAGCAAATTTTTTAAGTACAATTTTAATTGATTTAAGTAGTATGAAACAATAAAGTGTAAAATTTAAGAAAAATTCAAGAAAAGAGAAAAATGTAGTGACACTGTTAGTGTGGTAATAGTTCTAGTAGTTACTTTTAAAACTTTAAAACCAATGGGTTAAGTTCATTTTTTTTTTCATTAAAAAGACGTTTTTTTAAATGTTTTTATGAAAACGTAGTTGGAGAAAAATATATTTGTTTTTTTTAATATTTTTATAATATTTATAAATGTTCACGTAAAAAAACGTTTATTAAATATTTTAAAAACGTTTTTTCCAAAACATTTGAAAAACGTTTTTTTAATGAAAAAGAATGAACTTAACCCATTGTTTTTAACGTTTTAAAAGTAACTACTAGAACTATTAACAGTGTCACTATAGCGAAAATATCATTAGTGCTATAGTTCTAATAGTGGCACTAATAGTAATTTTTCATAAGGGTAGGATATACTATATATTCCCGTCAACAGTCAAATTCGCGGTGAACTCTCCCAACGTCACATTTTCGTTCGAACCGACACCACGAAAACGAATTTCTCTCCGATACAACCGAGGAGAACCCAATTGAAACTATTTATTGGAACGCATTAAACAGATATCGCTTCCAATATCGACAAGGCCATTTTGTGACCGTTGATCTCTACATCTTTCTTAAAATTTTTACATACGGCACGCTCATTTGTACATATACTCCTTACGTTTTGGCGCTTGGTGCATTGTGATGCGATGTGCCCCTTCTCGCCACATTGGAAACATTTTAGACCCTCTGTTCTGGGGATCGATTATGTATCTGCGTCGAATATTCTCACTTTTCGCATTGTCATCTCACGTGAAAAAATATGTGCGATTGGCTAAGGACAAAGTGAAAAAGCGACATCTCTATGCTCACGGGAACGTTACTCGCGAAACAGTCATTTTGTAGAAAGTTTTATGTATAAGAGTTTCTTTTCTAGCATTTCTTTTTTTCGATGATGAAACTCAACAAAACAGTAGCCTATAGTAAATTCAATATTCAGTATACTTTATTTCTGTATTTGTTTTAAATAATATAAATATTTAAATAATTATTAGTGATAATGAATGTTACAAAAAAAACAAAAAGAAATAATGCTATCATTTATATCGTTACACAGATTTTGAACGTTTAA